TTTTGGTGGGTTGGCTTTTGGTGGGTTGGCTTTTGGTGGGTTGGCTTTTGGTGGGTTGGCTTTTGGTGGGTTGGCTTTTGGTGGGTTGGCTTTTATCTTGATGTAATAGAAATACAGTAGAAATGCTTTTACAGGGTAAACAGTATTCAAAAAATTGCGAGATACACCATGGAATTACTGATTTAGCTGGATTTGCAATTTTTTTTAGTGACTATTTAAATTGTGCTACGCAAGCACAATATGCTTCTGTTATCTTTGGTTTTAATAAAAGGCATTTTTTACTTAACCTTTATTAGATGATGTTTTATTGTAGGGTTTTCATGTGGTAGTTGTCATAATGGGATATTATTCCATATCTACTGCATAAACTCAGGTTTTAACGGATAGAAACTAAATAGACTTTCCTGCAGTACCTAAGAGAATAAAAGTATTCATAATACCGGAATAATAAAACTACCGTTAGTGCTGAACTAGCATGATCTTTGTTATTCAGTCGTCAAAATATTCGTACTTTCTTTGCTTTATAACATGTTTGCTTTCAAAATGAAAATGTTGTGTATTACAGCTATAAACCTGTTTGAATTTCCTTTTAGAAATACAGAAAAGTATTTATCGATGGCTCTTAATCATTTACGTACATTCATTTAAAAGGTGTCATCAGTGAATAGGACTATTCTTCTAGTAATTTATTAATTTTCAGGTAGACTTTAATAGTTGGGAAAAATAAGTTTTGTTCCTTGGTAAAGATAAGTTAGTCCCAAAGAGGCAAAAATGAGTCTTCCTCATGAAAATGAAAATTTCTTTTTCTGAAACTTGACAAAGAAAGGCAAGCTTTTTGAGTTGTTATGTAGGTGTTATCTGTTGGATATTATGTTGACAGCTATTGTGTTTTGATTAATCCCTTCAGGAGAAAGTGTCTCTCCCAGAAGTTGCAAGCTTTCTTCTGTCCCTTAGACCAGAGGAGTCCCTAAGGAGGGATACTTTGTTATGGACAGAGGTGAGAACCGAAACTGGGTTTGTATTCATCAAACCCAGCAGAAATAACAGGATAATCTCAAAGGGGAAAATGTGGATACCATGTAGAGTTAGATTGTAAATTGTAAATTTTTATGGGATATGTTTTATGTCTTTGCAAGATGTAAAATGCTGTGAATAAAAATTCAAAGATGAAATAATTATATATAGTTACTGGAGCCAGCTGATTATGTAGCCATAAGCTTTGATTAGTTGTACAGCAAGATAATGATAAAACGGGAGCCCCTGGTGGTCTAGTGGTTAAGGGCGCAGTGCTGTCACTGCCGAGGCCTGGGTTCGATTCCCGGTCAGGGCCACTCCCTGGGCAGATGGAGCTCGTTAGCCCTGTAAGGCAATCCATCTACGTCCTGAGGACCTCGCTGCCACCGTCCAAGCATGCTTGGCCCCGGCAGATGAAACCTTAGGATTAAAGGGTGGGCTCAGTTCCGCGCACACTGTGTCTCACCTAAAAAATCCAATGCGCAGGCTGGAAGGTGTAAAGACCTTCCCCAGATCTTCGTTCGCGAAGACTGGCCATATAATGATAAAACAATTCTTTGCACGGTGTCTTCTTGTTATGTATACTGTACGTTTCATCTTACTCCATTGATTTTTGGCATAAAAGTTAAAAAAATGCAGGTCTTGCTAGATAACACTTGGCTGGGAGCCCTTCTGAGTTAAGGGAATTTTTATCAGTCTTGCTTAATTTTTAAGGGTTGTATTTTTTATTGTATTAGTACCAGTGATTTTTTGCGGGTGCTCTGAATTACCATCTGGAAAAACCTTTTTCTGTGTGGAGTTGGAAGGGAGCAGTCTGCTAAGCCTCAAAGTAGCACTGTTGAACACCTCTCACAGTGTAGATTTGTTGACGTAACATTTCACGTGTAACAGCGTGTGCTGCTGTTAAGTTAGCAGTGTCAGTACACAGCTGGCAGATGTGGTTAAGTGATAACATACTGGTTTTAATTTAGCTTTGCAGTTGGTTGCAAGTGAATGACACATGCTTCAGAAAGTCTGTAACTTCTGATTTTGAACATCAAGAGACGTCATCATTATGTCAATATGTACGCAGTCTCGTGGAAAAGTACTTTAAAACACCACCATCTGAAAGTAAGTAAATGTTTATTAATAAATCCCCCTATTTTCAAGATAATTTAAAAAAAATTACAACCCCTTGGATTTTAGAAGAATTGTTTGTAATGTTATTAGCTAAGAGCCTGTTCAAGTAGTATCCAGTCTGTGGTATTCATGATTCTTACGTTTGAACCTTATTTTGTAATCCCAGTTTTCCTTCATAAATTAAAGTCCTGCAGTATTAACTGAAGGTTAAGTCCCAGTATTCAGTTTTAATGCTGCACTGATGCTTGTCCATTAAACTTACTGTGCTACTTTTTCGGTGGTGCTGGAAAATGCTGGAATGTGGGCGTGGAGGAAAGCACAAGGAGATATGAGTACATGCAGGTTTCACTGTGCTTCTCTGCAGAGCTTTGTAAAAAGACCGAGTGTTTTTATGGAGAAAGAGGCCATATAGTTAGGCAGCCTGGAGACTCACTGCACGAGTAACCTGAGCAGTTACATTCTTTTGAATTTGGACAGCGTGCAACAGATGAGCTGCCACACATTATAACCCAGGAAGGTTCTTTGTGGGATATATAAATGTGCAGATAAATTCTAAAGCAACCTCTTTGTTGGCTGACTTGTTTTAAATTATTACGACTTCAGTTTAGTGTTTATTTTCAGATACATTGAAAGGAATGGAAAATGGATTTTTTTTTTTTTTAAAACTTCAACTTTTGTGTAGCATTCATTTATTTGCTACTTAAGTACTGCAGTCATAGTGAACTTGATATAGTTTTGAATGTCAAAAGTCAAAACTGAACA